CTTCTACTTTGCATACTTGTTATTGCCTGTCTGTACTAGAATCTAACATAAGGAGGGAGCAAACAGATTTGGCATGGGCTATCAATGTGGATTTTTGATAGAATATACTAATAGGAATTTTCAGCCAGGAATCCCAGGTGCTTTGCTGCTTGAGCAAATTCTTTGTTACAATGCAAAAGCAGTTGTGTGGGGGAAATAGAGATGAGTTGCAAGTTCCAGTGTCCTGAGTGGGTAGTAGGTAGGCGCTGAAGAGGTCAAGACACAGAATCTATATTTCTTAGTGCCTCTTATGATGGGAACTTCTCTAGGATCTGTAGACCTCAAGGTCAGAACAAGCTGTAGGAGAAAACTGGGCAGATGGAGTCCAAACCAGCAGGATAATCAAAGAGACACAGTCATTGAACTTCTTAAATGATCTCATTCCCATTGGTGCCCATTTGTAAGTGACTTGACTGTCCTACAGACCACTGTTTGGACTGTTTACTCCTCTGTCTTTAGGGCACTATGGTGGTGTTGGGGCCTGGTACCCAGAGAGAAAGAGAGAACCTGCTTGGAGAACTCATTTCCTCCTTGGTCTGTGCCTTGTGTATAGAAGAGATGGCTCAGAGTTGGGTGGAAGGAAACTCAGGCTTGATTGCTTGGGTCTTTGCTCATGGACAACCTTGGCTTTCAGATGGATGCTCACTTAAGGCTGGAGACTTCTTTTCAGTAAGGGAGGAGCCACAAACTCAGCAGTTCAGCTTGAACTGGTGATTTTCCAAGATAGGCTTGGGAAAAGCCAAAGTGTTTTCTGTTTTCACAGCAGCATCTCTACCTCCCATATCCCCTCCCTGCCAAAGTCCAGAATATGGTAGACCGAGAGCCTCCTGTGAGTCCTATAGCCCTATACTCAGCACCTTTGCCTGTGGGTGAGGTGGAGGTTTTTGAGAACTTCTAGAGTAAGTGTCAGAGGACAATCCTTGACAACGAGGAGTTCCTGCAGCTCTGGATACAGTCCTAGCCACTTCCTCTTGGAGCAGATGTCTTTCCTGGGGCAGCTGGGTCAGGTATCAGAACCAGCATCCCATTAAACCAGAGTGAGTGCTTTGTGCCCTAGAAACAGCATTAGACATGGGCTCAGACTATATGTGCTCCAGGAAAAATTCTGATTCTTTAAATCTATGAAATAGTTTCCTGTTTATCAAGCATATTTTAATTTATTTCTCCAAATCCTATGAAGGGAGTGTTGTGATTTCCATTCGTCTATCTGGAAATCTGAAACTCAGAAGGATTGAGTAGCTCAAACCCAGATCTGGCTGAGTCGCATGTCCTGGCTATCCATACCTATATGCCTTAAGTCTCCTTAACTCTGCTTTCTTCTGTGGACCAGTGACAGAGAAGGGCCAGGGGCAGAGTGGAGGGTGAATGAGTCACAGGCACACCTGGGCAACTCCTGCCAACTCCAGAAGATACTCTTGGGCATTTCATCCTATAATGTCCAAGCTGGAAGAGACATGGACCTTGTCTTGTCCAAGCCCTTCCTTGTTCAGATTGGGGCTCTGAGAGTGGACAGGGCTCCCACAGGGAGTTTAGGGCAGGGCTGGAGTCCAGGTCTCCTGATGCTTAGGTCAGTATACTTTTTCTTTTTTTAAGTTGTGATTTGGGTGAAAATTTACAGAGCAAATTCACTTTCCATACAGCAGTTCACACATACTTTGTCTCATGACATTGACCACAATTTATCACAATGCAACAGCTCCCCTCCCACTTCCTCCCCATAGTTACCTCTTTCCTGTGTCCATCCCTCCATATACTCCTGCCCTCTGAGCTGTCTCCCTGTGCATAAACAGCCCTTCCTTCTCCCATGATTGTTCTCTCCAAGGATTGTATCTACCTCAGGTAAATGTTCAACTCCTATGCCTGTCTTTTGTTTGGCTGGAAGCCACAAGTGTGGGTTCAATTCCAGACCTGAAGGTCAGCTAGGGGCCATAGTCTCAGTGGTTCCACCAGGCTCTATCAGACCAGCAAACCTGGTCCCCCCTTTATTTTTCCCCAAATGCTTTTGAGTTTTGTTCCACATTGTTCTCCCTCTCTATCCAGGATCTCCTACATAAATCCCCCTCCAAGTGGTTGACAGTGGTAGCCGGGCACCACCTAGTTCTTCTGGTCTCATGGTCATACAGGCTGCAGATCGCATGGTGTACCAGTCGCTAGGACTACTTGTTTCCATGAATTTTTGGTTTTCTTCATTCTTCTTTGCTTTGCTAGTTCAGTATACTTTTGCTAGATGTTAGAAAGAATGTTTCCAGAGCAAGACCCTTTTCTGAAATTAAGCTTGTTTGAATGGGAAGCCTTGCTTTAGAGCACTGAGCAGCTGGATTTTCTCCAGGGCTGGATCACTGGGGACGGGGTTCACCTGGAGCTGCCCCAAGAGAAGAGCAGCTCCATGAATCCTGGGCTGTCTTCTCTGATGCAGGTCATGCACTTGCCCTTCTTGGGCATCATCCATGCTGTGATGGTCCAGGCTTCGGGGATGGAAGCCCAGAGGAATCTTCCCATGAATCTCCTTCCACACTTCCCTCTGAGAGGTGGCCCTGCCATCTACAACATGGATAAAGCCAGGGGATGAAGGCGGCTGAAAGACTTCTTCTTTGAGCAGCTTGTCATCCTGCTCCAAGAGAGGTGTGTGCCTCCCTCACAGCTCTGAAGACACCTGCCCAGACTCTGTCCCACAATGGCCTTCCTTAGCACACAGGCTGACAGCAGTGGGACTATCCAGAACAGTAGATTCCTGAGAGAAACCTAGAAACAATCTCAGATGTAGATTGCATGGTGGAGGGATTAAAAGAAAAAAAAAGTTAACTTCAGATGCCTAGCATCCAAAGACCCCAAACAGAGGAGAGCTGTGCAAAGGGCTTGGTGAGGCCCTTGGTGAGGGCCTGTGTTATAGGGCAAACACTCTGTATCACAAATGAGGTAAACCGAGGTTTGGGTGTGTTAAGGACTTGTCTAAATCTGCCCAACAGAAGCAGTCAGACTGCACTAATTGATCTAAGAGGTCTGACCAGAGTCCCTGTCTCTGTCCTGATGGCCCAGTGGTTCTCCAAGGGGACATCTAACAATGTCAGGAAACATTTTTGGCTGTCACAACCTGGGGGAGGGGATGATATTAGCACCCAGTGGTAGAAGCCAGAGATGCTGCTGAATATCCTATAACACACAGACAACTCCTCATGACAAGGAATTGTCCAGCCTCAGATATCAATAGTGCTGAGGTGGAGAAAGTCTGTGAGTGCACATCCCAGGCTAAGGAGGATGGGACAGCTGTGAGGAAACTCTGCTGAGGTGGTCGGAGCTCTGGCTGGTGGATGCCCATGTCCTCCACTCCTAGGGGGGGATGTACAGAGATTCCTGGTAGAGCTCATTGCAAGCTGCTCTGAGCATCTTGTCATAGTGTCCTCTGCCCTGGGTAACGTGTGTTCACAACAGCCAATCCTCCTTGAGCAATTTCAGAGAGAAGCTTATAAAACGTTTTAAGAGGTTGGTAAATTACAACTTCAGAAGCACACTAATACTTCCATAAACGCCGGCCTTGCAAACTAAGTCTGCGTGGGAGACGAGTAAACAGGCTGTCCACACCCTGAAAGCCCACCTTGCATGACGGAAGGAGCGGGCTTACCTTTGGTCTTTAATTCTGTAGCTCCCTTCTTGGCTTTCTGATTATTGGCAGTTTTTCTTTTTGTTCTTTTTATCTCTTCCCTGTCCAAAGAGTCTGCTATTGACCATCTCTGTAACCTGTTTAGGAATCAAAGGCTCAGAGTGGGCTGTCCCAGGTCCTATTCTACCCTCCTAGGTTCAAGGAACTGTGGTCACAGAGAGAATAACCCTCTAGCCCTGTCCATGGATCCCCATCTCATGATCCCATAGTGACAAGAGACACTTCATCATTCTGTGGTCACCGACCACCTGAGAGATTGGTTGTGGAACATCTGCTGCCCCCATGGCCACCATGTTGTGCCCAGTGAGCAGACAGATCTTCTCCTCAGCAGTCCCATTTGAGTGAGTCCCATGATCCTTTGCTACTCACAGCCATAAACCATCATCAAAGATTGTCCTATTAGGCTAGCCAATATTTCTAAAATACTTGATGGTTTTCAAAACACTTTTACTTGTGTTTGATCTTCCTTGTAGCCCTGTGAAGCAGACAAGATAGGGAGATGGTCTCTGGTGTTCTGATGAGGACAATGAGAATCCCAGAGGGAAGTAACTTACCCAATATCACAGGAAAAGTTATCAGTAGATCCAGAATTTAAGCATAAATTTTGGACACCTGGACTTGACTTTGGTTGCATGGGGAAGCAGCAGGACAAAGACATGGGATTTGGGCTCTGCGAACCCTAGTTTCAGATTCATTCACTGCCCATACAGCTTGGGAAAGCTTTCTAAGCATTTTGAGCCTCAGTTTCCATATGTGTAAAATGGAGGTAATAGCTACCACCTCCCAGGATTGTTGTGCGATATAAAGCAAAATAATTATGAGCCTGGCACATAACTGATGCTCTATGAATTTTAGTTCCCAGTAGCCCAGAGCATGAGCAGCTATGAGGGATGGGGTAGTGGATGGGATGACAAATGGACAGATTGGGCTCCTCAGGGGAGGGCAGGAGCCAAATGTCACCTGTAAGGCCACTCCCGATTTGTGGGATCTGACGTAACAACTCTTTGAAGAGGTAATAAAATTCATATTCTGCTAGAAATGACAACAGCTGAGAGTCCTGACTTAGCAAACCAAATCCAACTTTTTTTTTTTTTTAACAAGGCAAGGAATTCTAGATGGGTAGCAAAAAAAAAATCCTATTCTAATGAGATTAGCTTTCCAGAATAGGAATAGGCTTTCCCAAGAGTCAAAGGTGTGTAGTGTGCCAACACCCCACAGAGAGTGTATATAAACTCCCCAGAGAGGTCTTGAGAATCCAGAACCTGAGCTCCTTGCTAAGGTGCACCTTTCCTCTGCTAGCATCATGGCCACCCAGATCTGCACCCCTACCTTCTCTGCTGGGTCTATCAAGGGCCTTTGTGGCATCTCTCGGGTGTCCTCTGTCCGCTCTGTGGGCTCCTGCAGGGTACCCAGTCTTGCTGGGGCTTCAGGGTCCATCTCTTCTGTGAGGCTGGGCCTTTCAGGTCTTGGCAGCTGCTTGCCTGGCTCCTACCTGTCCACTGGGTGCCACCCCTCTAGCTTTGTTGGGACCGGGGGCTGGTTGTGTGAGGGCTCCTTCAATGGTAGCGAGAAGGAGACCATGCAGTTCCTGAATGACCGCCTGGCCAATTACCTGGAGAAGGTGCGCCAGCTGGAGCGGGACAACGCGGAGCTGGAGGCTCGGATTCGGGAGTGGTACGAGTCTCAGATCCCATACATCTGCCCAGACTACCAATCCTACTTCAAGACCATTGAGGAGCTGCAACAGAAGGTGATGGGGACCTGGGCCCTCTCCAACTGGCCACCCAACCTCTGGGGGCGGGGGGAGTGGTGTCTATCTCATTACAAGGTCTTCCTAGACGGGACCGAAGCTTTTAGGGAATTCTCCCAGCAAGGAAAGTTTTTCTTTCTAGGGTCTTGTTTTCCTTTCTAGGGTCTTGTTTTCCTGGGGATCTAGGGCCTCTCTGCTAGTTTCTCCCTTCTAACCTGTTTCCAGACATCTCTCTGACATCCTTGTCAGCCTCAGCTATAGAAAGGGAAGTTACATTTATCCCTCCTGGATACAGGACCTGGGCCTGATGCTTTCCAGTCTGTTGGATTATTTATTCTTAGTCTTGGGGTATTAGTGGCCCATTTAACAGATGCAGAAGTTGAATTTTAGAGAGGTTTAGTGACTTGGCCAAGACCACATAGCCTGTGAGTGTTGGATGTAGAGCCTCAATCTAGGTTTGCCTGGTTCTGTCCACCCTGTGTCATTTTGGGGGCTACACACCCCACTGATGATCATTGACATCCTTGTGATGTCCCTGTCCCAGGGCTGATGTTCTTTCCATATTTTAGGTCAGGGCTCAGTGTTGGAAATGCTGCAGGTGGTTGGTTGTACTTGGGAGTATGGGCTCTGTGAGCTGGGCCATTTCCTCCCCATCCACCTCCCTCTGCTGGGCCTTCATCAGCTCAAGGGAAACCTCTTGTTTTCCAGATCCTGCTGACCAAGTCTGAGAATGCCAGGCTGGTCCTGCAAATTGACAATGCCAAGCTGGCTGCTGATGACTTCCGGACCAAGTGAGTGGGCCTGATTAGGAAAGGTTTGCTGCACAGCTCCTTTGCCTCTGCCCCCTGCCTTGGGGAGCTGGGGAGGTGGTATAAGTTTCTGGAGCTGTAAACCAGAGATCTGGCACTAGGGCAAGGGCAATGGCATGTAGTATTCCCTACCCTACCCATCTGGAAGCCTCTGTTGTAGGCCTCCTTTGCTGCAGACTTGGCAGGGTTCTGTGTTTGCAGGTACGAGACAGAGTTGTCCATGCGGCACATGGTAGAGGCTGACATCAATGGCCTACGGAGAATCATGGATGAGCTGACCCTGTGCAAGGCTGACCTGGAGATGCAGGTGGAATCCCTGAAGGAGGAGCTAATGTGTCTCAAGAAGAACCATGAAGAGGTGAGGCTGATGCCATGTCCCAAAATTCCCCACCCAGCATAGGGAGCCACTGCCAACCCTTGGGCATAACAATGGTGACAACCACTTCAATAGTAATACCAGGTGGCATTTACTGATGGCTTTCTGTGTGCCAGGAACTATATGGAGTACTTTGCATTTCACTGCATATCTCAATTCATCCTCATAACAGTCTCAGAGGTATACACTGCTATAAGATCCATTTTACAGATGAGGAAACTGAGGCTCAGAATAGTTCAGTCACTTGCCAAAGATCACACAGAGCCCACATTCCTGCCAATGACAGTAAATCTCCATTTGGGCCACCGCTCATAGTCCTTAATAACAATAATTCTGTTTGCCTAGTGTTTTGTATTATCTTGTTTAATGTCCCCAAATCCCCAGGAGGTAGTAGGTATATATGCTCATGAAGAGACCGAGGCTCAGAGAGGTTAAGTGTCCAGTCTAATGCTACACAGCTGGCAACTGAGGGAGGAGGGTTTCAACTCAGTTCAGTTGAACCCCACATCTAGCATTCTTTTCACCACTTGTGCCTTCTTGATTCCTCTCTGCAGGAAGTCAATACCCTCCGCTGCCAGCTTGGGGACCGGCTGAATGTGGAGGTGGATGCTGCCCCACCAGTGGATCTCAACAAGATCTTAGATGACATGAGATGCCAGTATGAAGTCCTAGTAGAGAATAACCGCAGAGATGTGGAGTCCTGGTTCAACACCCAGGTAGGGCTGGGGAACAGGACCACAAGCTCCTGGGGGTGAGGGCTACCCCTGCAGAGTGACTTTGCTTGCTTTGACTGTCTCTGTTCCCTATCAGACAGAGGAGCTGAACCAGCAGGTGGTGTCCAGCTCAGAGCAGCTGCAGTGCTGCCAGACAGAGATCATCGAGCTGAGACGCAACGTCAATGCCCTGGAGATTGAGCTGCAGGCCCAGCACAGCATGGTGGGTGGCCTTTGCCCAAGTGACTGCCAGCCTCAGCATGAGGCTACCATGGGGTGGGCACTATCACGAGCCATATATGCAGATATCCAGGGCTGTGGGTTTCTGGAGTCCCCTTGGCAGCTCTTTCACTTCCCCATTGCAGCGGAATTCCCTGGAATCCACCCTGGCTGAGACAGAGGCCCGCTACAGCTCCCAGCTGGCCCAGATGCAATGCCTGATCACCAACGTGGAGGCCCAGCTGGCCGAGATCCGCTGTGACCTGGAGAGGCAGAATCAGGAATACAAAGTCCTCCTAGATGTCAAGGCCCGGCTGGAGTCAGAGATCGCCACCTACCGCCGCCTACTGGAGGGAGAAGACTGCAAGTGAGTGGTCCATGGGCACTGGAGAGCCAGGTTTCAGGGAAGGGCTTGCCTAGACCCAACTTCAATGCCACAGCAAGGGCATCAACCCCCGAAGCCAATTCCTACATAGTACTGTGCAGGTGAAGGGGGCTCCATCAAAGCCTCTTCAGAGCCTTTCTGGTCTGGGTTTTGGTAGTTTCCAGGGGGGGACAAGCCAACCCAAAACACACACAGTAGGCCTCCAACAATCATCTCTGGGAGTTTCTAGTCTTCATTCCTGCAGCCCTAGTCTCCCACAGTTGGAGATTTCAAGGGTCACCAAGAGTCAGAATTGACTCACTGGCAAAGGGTAGCTGAGTTCATTCTTCGTCATTACCATCCATCCCCATTGACTCCCCAAACCTATTTAACATGAATCTCAGTCCAATGCCTCAATGCCAAACGCACCCTGAAATGATTCCATTTCCTCAGGCTTCCTGCCCACCCTTGTGCCACGGAATGCAAGCCTGCTGTTAGAGTTCCTTATCTCCCAAGCATGCCCTGCGCCACGAATGTGCCCTGCACCCCAGCTCCCCAGGTCAGCACTCAGATCCGCACCATCACTGAGGAGATCCGTGATGGCAAAGTCATTTCCTCCCGGGAGCATGTGCAGTCCCGCCCACTGTAAGCTGCCCACGTGGTGCACCAGGGCCGGCCTGGACCACAGGAAGGAGGACACCCCTGTGGCTCTGGCTGCTAAACGACCCCACCCTTGCCTAGAGGGGTCCCTGCTCAGCAAGTTTTTCTACCAAGATTCTTCTTTTATTGTGTTTCTCATCTTAACTGTGCTTTTACGTCATGCTAAACATAATCAGGTTTCACTGCAAATTTGCCCAATAAAGTGTGTTCTCTTGGCATAGCAAACTCAACCCTGGCTGTCTGTTTATTCTCATGTGGTGAGTTGGTGGGGTGTTTGTTAGTTAGGGGTTGCAGTAACATTGTGGTTTGTTTGGGTTTCAGGCCTGGCTTTTCTGGTTCTGAGTTGGAGGGACACGGCAGGATGAGCCAGAATATTTCATAGCAGAGGTGGCCCAGGCCCTGGTCATGACAAAAAACACTGACCCAACCCAGATGGAGGCTGGCCTTAACCCATCGCTTAGCCCTGCCTGTGGCACTCACCATGGGGATGCTCAAGGAGAGGCAAAAGTCCCCAAGCAGGTCTTCTGCTGTGGCCCTGCCTGGGGAAGGCTTCTCTCTCTCCTCCCTCCAGCTTCTCTGCCTATCATCCTGCTCAGGCCTCAGGCCTCACCCTGGGGACAGTTCAGAAGATGGGTCCCAGGACCAACCAGAGAGGACCACACTAGCCAGCCTGAGCCACCTTCCTTAAGGAGGGGAGTTGGGGTGAGCTGGGAGGTGAAGGCAGGAGGAGTAGGTGAATCTATGTCCCTAGCTGTGGATACGGGATTCAAATTAGGAACAGCATTGAAATTTGACATGGAAATTTGGGGAGGTGAGATTCAGACATGGAGCAGGAGGGGATAGCCAGGCCCCACTGTGGAGCTGAGGTCAGAGTGTCCCAGATTCTATGAGCTGCACTGTGTTGGTTTGCATGGGTAGCCTAACTGTGCCAGGCCCCTGGACATGCTCAGATCAGAGAAGTATGGCCTGTGAGAAGTTTGAGGGCCTCTGAGCTCCTTTGTCCCCACTGCCTTATTCTACAGTTGAGAATACAGGCCCAGAGAGGGACAGTGATTTGCCTCAGGCCACACAGCAGTGACTGACCACCACGGTATCATTCCCGAGCTCTTCTCATTCTTTCTCTGGTGCTCTTTCTGGCACACAGTTTCTCTCCCCTTTCTCTCTTCTCTACTTCTGGGTTCTTGCACAAGCTGAAGATATCCACAGCAGAGGCCTGGCCCTGCTCTATGGCATCAGGCATTTGGTCTGAACATGAATCTCAGCCACCTGCTGGATAGACCGGAGGGTTTACAAACACATCTCACGGCTCAGGAGAGGAAGCACGTGGGCAGAATTGGAGCATTCCGAGCTGGCCTGAGCCCAGCTCTGCTGCTCCGTGGTGTGTACCTTCTTCATGTGACCTCTCTGGTGCCAGCTGGCTCCTCTGTAAAATAGAACTGCTGGGAGGATCAAATGGGACAATATCGTACAGCACCCAGGAAGTGGTAGCTACCAGTGTTGGTGTTAATAAAAATGAAGAGTACCTCGACTCAGAGTAGGGAATGGGAAACCCCACCAGGTGGGACTGAGTTCTCTGCTTCACATGGCAGGCCTCTGACAGGTCCTATCCTGTCAGCAGCAACCTCAGTGCTGGACAGTGAGCCATAGGCATTGGTTAAAGAGGACCCACTTGTTTCTGGGCAGGAGCCCAGGTAGGAGGCCAGGCCACATGGATCTCTCACCTCTGCCCCTCCTGTGCTCTCTCTGATCCACACCCTTGCTCTGGAGTCTGAGGCCCACATCTCCCAGCTCTGGCCCAGCTGCCCAAGACTGGGGAGATGAGAGGTGGGCAGTGGGTGTGCACAGAGCCGCATCACATCCCCATTTGGTGGAATGTGTGTGGAGCAGCCAAAGGTCAGGGCAAGGCTGGACACAGCTCGAGCTGACATGCCACTGCATCAGAGCAGGCAGACTGACTACGCAGGGTGGTGACCTAACAACTGACCACACCATCAACTCCTTGCACTGTGTGGTGCTTTCCCATTTCAAGAGCACTCTCCAGTTTGCAAAGTGTGTTTGCAGCCTCATCTCGTGTACAGAAACAACCTTAAGTGGTTGGAGGCATTTGTTTACGTATTTCCACTTAGCTGTCCATTGAATTATCCAGAGCATCTGCATGAGCTAAGGAACCCCCTCCCACTCTCCACCTCACCCGCACCCTTCCAATTTGTTCCACTAACCAGGGTGCCAGCTAGAATTCAACACTGCTGTGGAGTAGGCATTGGCTGGTCCAAAGTCCCACAGCAAGTGGCAGACTAACGACATCATCTCAGGACCTTTAACTCCTTATTTTACTACTCTTTCCATGACTTCAAGAGTGAGATTAAGTAAAACATATTTTACAAGATTTTCCTAGAGTGGAAAATGACACTTTATTTCAAGGTCTGATCTGTTTTGTAATTTTCAGCTATGATATCTGGCTGTCCGTCTTAGTCACAGATACCCATACTTCAAACAATCAATTGACATTGTGTAGTGAACACCACCTGAGTAGCAAATCCAGTGCTCAGGCAGGGGCTTATGTAGTGAGAAGCAGGGATAGGAGATAGCTGGACACAAGCGTCAGTAACAGCACAGTTCCCAAGGAGCTCTTGTCTGGCTTGGAGACAACTGCAGGCACACAGTACAAGGAATGGCTCCAGAAACAGCAGGAGTTGATGTGGGGTGGGCTTTGAGGTCATAAAGATGAGGAGAGATCATTGAGAGCTGGGGTGACCAGGGAAGCTTTAGGGGAGACTTGGATTTGATGGAAGCCTTGAAGGATGGGTCATCAGGTTTGGTGAAACAGAGAAGGAGGGCAAAGGGTATTTTAGGGCATGGCCAAGTGCACCCATGGTATGTTCTGGGGGCAGCATGGACCCCACCTGAGCTGACTGCAAAGGCCCTGAAGGGAAAATTTCTAGAATATTCACTAACCAATGTTAGTTACTTCTTGCTGATAATGGGCTCTAGGTAATTATTTCATTCTGTTAAAAAAATGCTCAGAAAGAATACAAACAGGCCAGGACAATTTGTGGGTTACTTCAAACCTTTAAAAGTAGCTTTGGTGGTGTAGTTTAAGCATTTGGCGGCTAACCAAAACGTTGGCAGTTCAAACCCACTAGCAGGAGAAAGATGAGGCAGTCTGCTTCCGTAAAGATTTACAGCCTATGGGGCAGTTCGATACTGCCCTAAAAGGGTCATTATGAATTGAAATCAGCCTGATGGCAGTGGATTTGGTTTTGTTTTTGGGTTCTCATACTTTTAACAAGATTTACATCATATATCATAGATTAAAATTATGTTTTATACAATTATCTTAAAAGTCTTATCAAGAATGTTCTAGGCACAACTTTGACTCTGAATTGGCTTGTGAGCCCTGCCTCCCTTTGGGCGGAATGGCTTTTGGCCCAGAGAACACTTTGTCCTCTGACAAAGAAGTCGGTTAATCTGGGCAGATGCTGCTAATTAGGCATCGTGTAGATGTTGTGTGCCATCAGTGGATTCCCACTCATAGTGACCCTATGAAACAGAGTAGAACTGCCTCACAGGATTTCTTAGGCTGTAATCTTTACAGAAGGAGTGCTGGTGACACAATGGTTAAACACTTGGCTGTTAACCAAAAGGGCGGTTTGAACCCACCAGCTGCTTCGTGGGAGAAGATGAGACAGTCCTTCTGATAAGCAGTCAAGTGCTCAACCACTGCACCACCAGAGCTCCTAATTAGGCATTAGATATGCCTAATCCCTTTCTGTTCTCCCAGCCTCAGTTTCCTCATCTGTCAGAGTAGGACCAATAGGACTGATTTTGTAGGTGTCTTTCCCTCCTTCTACTCCCCTTTCCTCTCAAAATCCATTCTTTGCTTCCTCACTGGCATCAGCACACTTTACCACAAATGCAAAGCATTTATGTATCCATCCATTCATCTGCTTATTCATTCATAGTAGACCTCTGGAAGCCCAGCACTATGGAAACCGTGGAGATTTCAGAAGAAGCACGAGTCCTATCCTTGCCCCCAAAGAACTTAGTCTCCCTGGGAAGATACGGCCGAAACACAACTCAATTGGAGAACAGTAGTTAATTGGGGACTAATGTAATGAATCAACCATGGTCACTGCCATGAGCATTCAGAGTTGGGAGGGTATAGTGGTGTTGGAGCAGTGAGATGGGCTCCAGGGGGCAGTGGGGTGGGCCCAAGGTCTGGGGCTAGAAAGCCTGGTCTTTAGTCTCCATGGGAAGACTGTGTGAACTTTGGGTAAGTCATTCACCACCCTGACCGTGGGTACTCTTGTAGGAGCTGGCACACTTCTATCCACATATTGCAGGGTATGTGTGTGGGGTTGCTCACAGGAGATAGTGCTCCTTGAACAGTTATTCAAATGCTAGTTCTTCCAACTCTACTCATAGCTCATGAGCTCTGTCCCCTCGGGCAAGCTACTGAAATATTTTAAGCCTCAATTTACTTATCTATTAAATGGGGAGATTGATAATGTCAGTGCCACGTGGTTGCTGTGAGGACTAAAGGGAAATAATACATGGGGAGGGTTTAGCAAGGGGCCTGGCAGGTACTAAGTGCTCAGTGAATGATGGCTGATACCATTCACTTCCTTATTATTAGCACTGTGTTGGGGACAGCACAGGTGTGGAACCCTCCCATGTGACCCCTGGGATGGTGCAAACAGGCTGGGGCTTCCCAGACCTTTGCTGCTGTGGCTTCTCTGGGTCCTTGGCACATGCCTGGGCAGAGCCCCATACCAACAGAGTGGGAAATGCAAACACCCAGGGAGGCTCAGCCAGGCTCTCAGCTCAGCTGCATCCTTTGCACTGGGGCATGAATTTCCAGAGAGGAGAGGCCAAGGCAGCCAAGGCAACCCTGAGATAGTGCTGAATAAGTGCCTGTCACCCCAGGTCCCTGGGTATGGGAAGGGCATGGTGACTCATGGGAGCTATGTATCAGAGGGCCCCAAACATACACAGCTGGCCCGTGGGATGATGGCCTGTGTGCTCAAAGCCTGTCCACACTCCCCAGTGACAGCTGCTTAGCGTCATCAGTCTCAGTACAACAGGACTCCATTTGTGTGGGGACTGCTGTTCATAATAGCTGTTGCTGGTGAGCACTTACCATGAACAGATGCTGTTCTAGATGCTACAAACTCATTTACTCCCTATAGCAAGCCTAGAAGTAGTACTATTGTCCTTTTCCCATGTTATAAAGGAGGTTACAGAGAAGTTACATTACATAGTTGGTAAGTGGCGAGTGTGGGATTTGAACCCAAAGAGTTCACTCATAACCACGAGACTGCGCTGCTTCTCCTGGGACATCAGAGGGTCATCACTTGTGGAGCCTACTCAAATTCTCTCTTTCCCGTTCTCCATAGAGCCTGATCATGTCCAGCAGCCTGGGATAGGATTCTGGAGCAGTGGAGGAGGCAGGGCTGTGTTGTGGAGCGGGGCCAGATTTGGGTTGGCATTTTGGCTCTGCCGCTCATGTGCTGGGGGCACTTAGGCAAGTTCCTATCCTCTCTGTGTCTCGGCTTCCTCAGCTTCAAGAAGAGGGATAATAAATCCAGTTTCACAGGACAGTTCTGAGGAGGAACTAAGACTGTGGGTGGGAAAGCACTGAGCATGGAGCGTGGTCAGTGTCGGATTATTCACTAAGCAAGGTAAGCACAGGTTTACTTGTGCTTCCTTACTAATCTGTAGTGATTAATTTCAGCCCCCCCGCACCACATCAAAGGTTTTGTTTCAAATACGTCTAGCATCTGTCTCTCTCTCAACCCCACAGTACCCTCCTACAGAATCAAAGCCTCTTTTCAAATTTATAATCCCTGACAGAGATGGATTACCCTGTAAGCAAGGTAAAAGCAGGGGCTTACATGTGCTTACTAATTTGTAGTGAACAGTTTCACACATTTTTGTGGTGAAACCCAGGTGAAATTGTTCATTATAGATTAGCAAGTTAGCACAAGTAAGCCTGTGCTTACCTTGGTTATTGGGTAGTCTGCCCCTGTACCTGGTACACTATTTGTACACAACTCATGGCCATTCTCCTGATGAGAAGGTGATCAAAGCCCCTAGAAGAGAAAGCAGGATCCCAAACCACAGGGCAAGTCCACCTGGTGTGGCCCCAGCCATAGCTCCACCCTCCCCACGTGCACAGCTCTGCAGCACTGGCCCTCACTTGCTGGGCAGATTAAATTTTCTGGAAACATAACACGTCCTTGTCAAGATTTCTGATTTCACACAACTCCTGTAGCACAGATAAAACTCGGAAGGGCAGACTCTTTGTACCTCCTAAGGAGGCCTGTGACTCCAGCCCACATCTCTTCCCCCACCACCTGCAGGTGACCAGAGGTGCTGGGAAGACAGGCCTCCTTAGACATGGCTGCAGGCATTCCCACAGTAACCAGTTAACCAAACTCTAGGTTTTTTTTTTTTTTTTTGGCTGGAGCTGAGGCTCTGCAACCAGAACAGCTTCCCTGGCAAGGAAGGGAGTGGTCATGTGTCCATGGAGGCTCTGCCGTTTCTAGGGTGACCAATTGTCTCATTTTGCCCAGGACTGAGGAATTCCCTGGGGCACAGGACTTTCAGCACTAAAACAAGGGTAGTCCCAGGCAAAGTGGAATAGTTGTTCACCCTAGCTGTGCCTTCTGGGCCATTCCAGAGCCTTCTGTGTCCCATTTCCATGGGTGTGAGCCCCCTGCTTTCTTTCAACAACCAGGATTGCTCTTCCATTTCGTGGGAACCAACCCAGAGGCCTCCTCTACTCTCTTGGGCCCATAAAAGGAGAAAAAGCTGGAGAAAGTCAACACGGTGGCTGGACTCCCACGCCTGCTTAACGAGGAAGCTGAGGTTTGGGCCCTGATGACATGCCCCTTTGAAGAACTGACAGAGTTAGTCTTCCCAGCAACATGGGATAGTGGAGATGAGTCTCCACATAGCCACCAATCCAACGGGGCTCCTTTTTTATGAGGCCAGGAAATATTCACGGGAAGCTAAAGAACAGGTTAATGAGGGGTTCTGATAGAAAGTGGTATTAACTTTAATGAGGAGAGAAAACTTTGTAAAGGCCCACACCCACTGGGGCAGAGATATAAACTCTGGGTGAGGAGCTGTTTCTTGCATCTGGGGTTTCTGGTCCTAGGTCTATTGCTTGTGACTGGGCTTCTGTGAGGCCATGGCTTCCAAATGTCTCAAGGCCAGTTTCTCTTCGAGATCTCTCAAGGGCCCAGGAGGGGCCGGTGGTTGCTCTACCCGCGTGTCCACTATGTACTCCAGCAGCTCCTGCAAGCTGCCAAACCTTTCCCATGGGGCCCAGAGTTTCTCTGCGTGTTCGGCTGGGCCGGGCCGAAGCAGTTGCAGGGCCGCTAGCTGCCTCCCTGCTCTCTGCCTCCCCACTGGAGGCTTTGCCACCAGCTACAGCGTGGGTGGGGGCTGGTTCGGGGAGGGTGTCCTTAATGGCAATGAGAAGGAGACCATGAAGTTCCTGAACGACCGCCTGGCCAATTACCTGGAGAAGGTACGTCAGCTGGAGCAGGAGAACGCCAGCCTGGAGAGCCGCATCCGTGAGTGGTGTGAGCAGCAGGTACCCTACCTGTGCCCCGACTACCAGTCCTACTTTCGGACCATTGAGGAGCTCCAGAAGAAGGTAAGAGGTCCAGGGTGGCTTTGGCTGTCTGGAGACTGGGGATCATCTGCGATGGTAGCCCTGCCTTCATTGAGCACTTCAGAGGTCACAGAGCACATTCACATCTGTGGTCTCTTTTGTTCTTTCCAGTAATCTTATAAGGGAGGTATCATTAGCCCATTTTACAGATGAGAACACTGAGGCCCATGAGTTAAGTGTCTTACTCAAGGCAACCCAGCTGGCAGTTACTGGAGCCAGAATTTGAATGCAAGGTCTACATACTAACTGGCTGTGGGACCTTTGGTATAGCAGTTCACCTCTCTGAGCATGAATTTTCTCTCTCTTTTTTTTTTTTAAAGGTGAGGGGATTGGATTTGAGGTGTCTAGCACAGACCAGGTTTCTCATAACTCACTCAGGCCAGAAAGGAAAAGCCCGTCAGAGAAGCTTCCTTCTTGCCCGGTCCCTATCCCCTGAAAGTCACAGCGGGGTCCTGAGAGGGATCAATTATGACCAGAGAAACACAGAGTACTCTGATGGCAGTGATCTGCCCTGCACCTCTCATTAGGCCAGGAGGCAGAAAGGAGTCTTGTCCCACTGTGTCAAGCCTTTCCTGCAGCATTTCCATACCTGTCTTTCTGACTGACCCTGGGTTATAGACCACAGAGGTATATTTGTTTGGAAGAGACTTCAGACATTTTCTAGTCTGATTCCTTTCTCATTCTATCTGTAGAATATCCATGGGGCCTCAGCTGCCAAGAGTCTGGGGGTGGATGGCTCCCTCCTTCCAGAGGCAGTCCATGCCAGCTCTGACCAGCAGAATGTGTTTTCTTTCACTAAACTTCCTTCTTTATTTCCCCAGAACCTGTGCACCAAGGCTGAGAATGCCAGGCTGGTGGTGCAGATTGACAATGCCAAGCTGGCTGCAGATGACTTCAGGACCAAGTGAGTTGTCTGAGGGGAAGGGATGAGCCTTTCTTCCTGTTCAGCCATCAGTTGGCAGCCATCGGTTGGCAGCTGATAGAACTGGATATCGGTGACGCCCAGATTCAGGGTTTTGGGTGCACCAGGCCACTAAAGCAGGACTGACAGCATGAGGCCTGTCTAGGGTAGGAGCTGACTTACATACATAAAGGAAGTGTAGCATCAGGTGCCCTGTTCTGTGACTGCAGGTATGAGACGGAGTTGTCCATGCGGCAGCTGGTGGAGGCTGACATCAATGGCCTGCGCAGGATCCTGGATGACCTGACCTTGTGCAAAGCTGACTTAGAGGCCCAAGTAGAGTCTCTGAAGGAGGAGCTGCTGTGTCTCAAGAAGAATCATGAGGAGGTAAGCATGAGGGGGGAGATGAGCATGGGGAGCAGGTGGCCATGAGGGGCAGGTAGGAATAGGAAGAAGGTTGGCAGAGGGAGGAGGTTGGCATGGGGGAGATGTGGGCAAGGCAGGAAGCTAGGAAAGTTGGCATTGACTCTGCTCTGTGCCATAGGAAGTGAATTCACTGCGCTGCCAGCTTGGCGACCGGCTCAATGTTGAGGTGGATGCTGCCCCACCTGTTGACCTGAACCGTGTCCTGGATGAGATGAGATGCCAGTATGAGACCCTGGTGGAGAATAACCGCCGTGATGCTGAAGACTGGTTCAACAACCAGGTGGGTACCTGGAAGCAATCAGAGCAGAAGGAACCTATGACAAAAAACATAGAAGTAACCTTGAGGCTCTGAATCAAGGACCCTGAGTTTGAGTCCTGGCTCTGCTTTGATCTGGCTGTGCAACTTTGGGCAGGTTGTTGTCCTCTAAGCATCAGTATCCCCAGATGTGAAATGAATGGGTTGAAGTGGGTGATCTGAAAGATCCTTTCTGGCTTGTGATTCTAAGTGGCCTCTGCAGACCTCTGAAGCTGAGTCTCCAGCTGAGTCTGACTCCATTTTGTGTGTGTTTCAGACTGAGGAGCTGAACCAGCAGGTGGTGTCCAGCTCAGAGCAGCTGCAGTCCTGCCAGGCAGAGATCATCGAGTTGAGACGCACGGTCAACGCCCTGGAGATCGAGCTGCAGGCCCAGCACAGCTTGGTGAGCCCCAAGGCTTGAGCAGGGCTGTTACTGGACTAAGCCTAGAAGCACACGAGCCCCCAGACTCCAGGCTCTGGTCACACAGGCAGGCTCCAGGACTCTCTAGAGCATCAGGGATTCTCTGTGCAGAGAAGAAGGAATGAGGGCCCAGATGCCCCAGTGGTAAAAGACTGGAGACCTATAGCACCAGACATGTCCTGGCAGTAGCTCCTGTATTTATGTAAGCAGATAGACATTCTGAGTAATTATCCATTACTCAGAGATGTCATTAATAGGGAGATACTCTCCAGGAGGCTATAGGAACTAACTGCTTAGCTCAAATGAGATCTCTGATTGGGGAACTAGGGTGGCAATGATTCTCTGAGCTTCTGCTCTTGGATTTGAGGCCTCACTGAGATCCAGATGGATTAAATGCATTGTTCTCACTCCTTCTCCTTCTCTGACCTCTAACCTTCCTCCTCCCTCACAGAGAGATGCTTTGGAATCTACCCTGGCTGAGACCGAGGCCCGCTACAGCTCTCAGCTGGCCCAGATGCAGTGCCTGATCAGCAGTGTGGAGGCCCAGCTGGCTGAGATCCGGGCTGACCTGGAACGGCAGAACCAGGAGTACCAGGTGCTGCTGGATGTCCGGGCCCGACTGGAGGGTGAGATCAACACATACCGGGGCCTGCTGGAAAGCGAGGACAGCAAGTGAGCATCACTGTACATTCTCTTGCCTTCTGAGTACAATCCACAAGGTTCAGGGGAGACAGCCTGCTGCCTGGAAAGAGCCTAGCATTAGGGGTCTAGCATCCTGGGAGTTAGTTTTGCTCTTATTACAAATTTATCATGTGACTCTAGAAAGCCCTTTTTCCTCTCTGGGCCTCTGTTTTCCCATGGGTAAAGTGAGGTGGCAGAACTGGGTGGTCTTCAAATTACCTTCCAATTTGCACTTTCTGGGATCTGTTATGAGTTCTTGAAAACAGCAACTGATAGGCCACAGTAATCTGACTATTTTCTTTCTCCTAGGCTCCCTTGTAACCCGTGTGCCCCTGACTACTCACCCTCCAAGTCGTGCCTCCCTTGTCTGCCGGCAGCCTCCTGCAGTCCTGGTGCTGCCCGAATGAACTCCAGCCCCCGCCCTATATGTGTGCCCTGCCCAGGGGGCCGGTTCTGAGAGTGACTGACCCAGAAGACCAAGGCCAGGTCTCCAGGGCTTGGGCCTGCCATCTACTCAACCTTAACCCTAAAAGCTCATTTCTTTCTCTTCATGCAGAGCCCAAGGCCTGGCTCTGAGAGGGCTCTCTGCAAATACATACCTTAAAGTTTCTCAAAGCCAGTCACTAAGCCCGACTACCCCCAAAGGCCTCAACTCCTTATCATTTCAATGGGTGCCAGGTCTCTGTTCTCAGGTTGCTTCCTGGGTCAGGTTTTCCTCCTGGGTGCTGTTCCAGTGGGTTCTGAAAAGCAATTGAGGGCTTCTGTTGATGGGACAATAAAGCACACTTGCTCTGGCTCTTGATGCCTCATTTGCACCATTCTGGCATTGTTGGTTCAAGTCTCTACTAGGTTCAGAGGGATGGATGACTCTTGGGCTGATGAATGGAGGATGTCTGACCATGTGTGACCTAAGGGATGACTGTGCCCTGTTTGGAAGATGGGGTGCTAAGAGGCCTCTAGTGAAGTTTTCCCCAGTAACTCTACTTTTTGCTTGGCTTTCCTGATGAAGATCTTTCTGGAAGTTGCCAATGTGGTGACAGGTGTTATAAGACCTCTCCTTCCATCCCTCCACCAGCCGTTCCTTGGAAGGAAGGTTGGGCAATCTACTTCCGTAATGATACTGCCTTGGAAACCCAAGGAGGGGTTGCTATGAGTCGGTTTGGTTTGGTTTGGTTTGTCCCATCCCTCTTAGTATACATGGTCACCCTGGGATCTCAGACTAGGATGGATAAAATTGAAAGTAGTATAAGTTGAAGCATTTTAGGATATATTATCCTCATGTCCTTATAAAAACAACAATAGGGTATCTCACACCCAGGGTACTTTAAAACAAAAGTTTATTTTCATCAACCCTCCTCTTCCACTGTGGCCGTTTCTCACAGCCCTTAATAATCTACATTCTGTAACAAGCAGGAGATGGGAGAGTGAGTCTGCCTCTGTGACTTCTATCATAATTAGAGATTCAGAAGCCCATGCCTGTTCTTGAATGCTCTTGGCATCTGATAGACACCCAGTGTCTTTGGATCCTAAAGCATTTCCACAGGGATATGGGAACCCCCAGCATCTTGCCCTAAAGGCTCTCACTTGGGTCCAGAATGTCCTTCCATAATGTTGTTGTCGTCAGGTGCCGTTGAGTCATCTCTGTCTCATAGCGACCCCTACGCACAGCAAAACGAAACACCACCCGGTCCCGTGCCAGCTCCTTCCATAATAGACCAGGCAAATACCAAATTTCATCAGTCCCACATGCAAAATGGAGAAGGGTGAAAGTAAAACTTTCTAAGACAGAGAGGAAGGCAGGTTATCCCCAGATGGCTAGGTACTCTTCATAAGACACCCAGAGTGATTGCAAAGGAACGTCAATGATGTTGAGAGAGTGGTAACAGCATCGACCCTGGAGAACAGGTTAGTGAGAGATGGGTAGGCTTGAGACCAGGGCTTTGAACAGGTTCATTCTGGTTTGACCTCCTGCTGAGAACTTTCATTTCCACCCCATATAAACTGAATCAGAATCTACATTTTAACAAGATTCTCAGCAGGGGATGAACCAGAATGAACCAGTTTGAAGCCCTGTTTGAGACCGGCCCCCCAACCCTTTAGGTGGGTGCCCAGTATAGCTCACCCTGATTAAATTTTAGCATCTTCTTCTTTCTAATGCTTTATAAAGGAAGGCCTTTGGGTCTTGGCTTTCTCTCAACCCTCTTGCTCCTGGCATCCTGCAAAACTTCAGCTTCAGCCTTCTTGGAACACCTTGTGTGGTTTGCTGAGGCTCAATGACTCAAGGCGGGAGACTCAGGATAATTCAATTCATTTGACAAACCCTTACTGAGGGCCTCCCATATGCTAGGAAGTGTGTAGTTCCCAAGGGCAGGTTTGCTCAAGGGAGGCACTGGGATGGGACTGGAAGCGTGCTCACTCCCTATTTTTCGCTTTCTACCTCAGTGGTGGGAGGAAGCCAGGTAAAGGAGACCATGATGTCAGCGCAGTGAACATGGGCTTTGGAGTCAGACTGATCTGGATTCAAATCTGACCTCACCACTTAATGCCTGTGGAAGCTTTAGCAGGTCACAGCCCTTTTCTGAATCTTAGTTTTATCAACAGTGAAGTAGAGAACATGACACTTAGAGTGCTGTAAAGCCTCTAACACCTATGCTGGGTATTTGGAAACTAGTCTGTATAGTTGACTCTATTCTTGTTGGCTTCCTGGATTGTCCTGAAGGTGCACCTTCACCTCTGCCAGCCCTCAGTTTCATTTCTGAGGTTTCCTTCCCAGCAGTAATGCCCAAGGTAGACCTGAGCAAAGTGGATATGCAGTTACATGATGGATTATTTGGAGTCCATGGATGGTACAAATGGTTAACATGCTTGGCTGCTAACCCAATGGTTGGGAGTTTGAGTCTACCCAGAGTGTGCTTTTTAATTATCAAAGGCCTGGTGATCTACTTCTGAAAGATCAGCCACTGCAAATCCCGTGGAGCACAATTCTACTCTGATACACATGGAATCGCCATGAATCAGAACTAACTTGACAGCAACTGGTTTGGTCTTTGTTTTTAATGTACTAATTCGGACACTGACCAAAGAAAGTGGGGAAGGTCTCAGTCAGCAGCACATGGATGCATAGTTGAGCACATGTTGTTGTTGCTGCTGTTATGTGCCATTGAGTCGGACTCATAGGGACCCCTCCTTGGATTTCTGAGGCGGTATCACTACAGAAGTAGATTGTCCAACCTTCCTTCTGAGGAGTGGTTGGTGGGTTTGAACCAACAGCCTTGTGGTTAGCAGTCAAGTACCTTAGGCACTATGCTACCAGAGCTCCTATTAGCACATGAACTGGAGCTAATTCTGTTTTACATAAAACACACTCTTCCTCCTCCTGGCATTCTTTGTGTCACAAGCCCCTTCCAAACTCATGCTGAATCCTTCCAAGATGGACTCCATCAGATCATGCGTAGCCCTGCCTTTAATTATTACTTACTTCATTTGCTTGTCCTTTTTAATTATCATATTGTGACCATTCAGTTAGCGTTCCTCAACCTTGATACTGGAATGACTTTTTTTTTGAAGGTACAATAAAGGTTTATTCTATTTATCTGTATTTTCTTAGAGAATAAACTTACATTTACTGGACCAGCAGTTTCAGAACTATATTTTGTAAAGATTAGTTATGATTCTTCATCTTGATTATAACCAATTAATTTTTATGCAGAAATTGGATTGAGAAGGTTTGTTATGAATGAATGCCTCTGAATTATGAGGGTAACTATCAGTCTCTGGATATTTAAAATGAGATACTATTTAATTATTATCTGTGAATCCTCTAATTAATGTTAAAATAGGATAAAACTGAATGAGATCTCAAAAGTAGCATTTTTTCAGTTACACAGAATTTCTTTTTAAAAATTTTTTTATTATGATGTGGGTGCATATTTACAAAGCAGATTGTATTACTCACAACGGTTTATGCACATTTGGTTTCACTGCCAAGATTACAATCCTCATACTGATGCCTGGGCCTTACCTCTGGAAATTCTGATTTAATTGATCTGGGAAATGGCCTGGAGTCAGAATGTTAAAAAGCTCTCCAAGTGATTCTAGTGGGTACCAGGCTTGAAAGCTGACTGTGTACTCACTTGCTTTGTGATTACTTCTCCCAGCCACACTTCTTTATCTGTCAACACACTCCCGATCTGGAATACTGGCTTGAATCATAGTCTTCTGTGGCTTTGAACACTGCTGCTCTTGCTTATCATATCAACTCTGATGTGAAACTCAAGTGTTTTTTCATAATGGAAAACATTGCTCATGCTAAGCATTTGAATTGAGTGGACTTTGTTGCAGATTCCTCGGGGACCATCAGTCTCTTACCACCTTCTTGGTGCCACCACTCCTAGCTTCTCTCTTCCTCTCCTCCTCATTCCTTCTTTCCACAAGTGTCCTGTGAATTTCAATTTCTCCCTATAACACACAGAACAATTTCCTCCTTCCTCAATGCACTTAAAAAGAGTTCTGGTGGCACAGAGCATAAGGCATTTGACTGCCAACCAGAAGGTTAGTGGTTCAAACTCACCAGCTGCTCTGTGGGAGGAAGATGAAGCAATCTGCCTCCATAAAGATTTACAGCCTTGGAAACCCAATGGGGGTCACTATGAGTTGGAATTGACTCAATGGCAGTGGGTTTGGTATTTTTGGTTAAGGCACTTGAGGTCCTACCTTTTATGCCCGTCCTTATTATTTTCTCAAGATAATTCTTAAGAGCAATTGCTAAATGCCTGTCTTTAGAATTTCTGATTCAGTAAGTGGGCCTGATAAACTGCATTTCAAACATGTTCCTGGGTGATGCTGCGGCTGCTGGGCTGGGGACTGCTTTTTTTTTTTTTTTTAAATGTGATTTGGGTGAAAGTTTACAGAACAAATTCATTTTCCATTGAACAGTTTATTCACATTTTATTTCATGATATTGATTGCAATCCCTGTAATGTAACAGCTCTCTTCCCAGTTCCTCCCTGTGGTGAACTTTTGGTGGCTGCATTTTTGAGAACCACTCATACTCTGTTATCATAATATCTATTTTAGGAGATTTTGTGAGGAATAAATAGATAAATTAAAGCAAACCCCCAGCACAGTGCTTGACACCTACAGACACTTAATAAGTGCTGGTTTGAGGAGCTCTGGTGGCGTAGTGCCTAAGGCACTTACTTGACTGCTAGCCAGAAGGCTAGTGGTTCAAACTTACCAGTCACTCCTTGGAAGGAAGGTTGGGCAATCTACTTCCATAGTGATACTGCCTCGGAAACCCAAGGGGGGGTTGCTATGAGGGGGATCTGACTTGACGACAATGCGTTTGTTTGTTTTTTTTTGGTTATGATTTTGAAGTATATTCCAATCAGTATCATTCCGTGTACTTGGTATTGTTATTTCCAACACCACAACTTTCCCTTCTTGCGGGTTTTGAACAGTTTATGTCATTGCATTAGAATATTTTTCTTCCTATGTAGCTTTGAATTGCTAGAAATGTTTGAAACAAGGAGTCACCAGGCTTCTCCTTCTGTCAAATGCCATTGTCTTCTCTAACCAGTTAATCCCAACAAAGGTACTAGAATTTATGGTTGTTGCAAGGAACATGAACTGAGAAACCTCTCAGTTATTTAATATATTGCTCTTTCAATTTATATGAGGGGACTGAGGTCCAGAGAGGCAAAGTAACTTTCCCAAGGTCACACAGCAAATTGCTGTTGTGTGCTGTTGAATTGATTCCAACTCATAGAAAACCTATAGAGCAGAATAGAACTGCCCCATAGGGTCTCCTAAGCTTTCATCTTTATGGGAACGGATCATTAGGTCATTTCTTGTACCATGCCACTGGACTGGGTGGGTTTGAACTGCTGACCTTTTGGTAAGCAGCCAAGCACCACCAGGGCTCCCTGTGTAGCAAACTTTAGAGGGCAGCATCTCTATCTTGACTTTCCTTAATCAGGGAATAGTGATGGATGAGAATTTCCCCTTCCTGTCCCCTTACCAACACTTCTTGGAATATATGAAAAATAAGCACTTATACATAATATCATGTGGAGAAGATTATTGTTGTTGTCCTGTCAGTTCAAACTCATGAAAATCCCATGTGTTGCAGAGAAAACTACTCCATAGAGTTTTCTTGACTGTAATCTTTATGGAAGCACATTGCCAGGCCTTTTCTTCTGCAGTGCTGCTGGTGGATTTGAACTGCCAATCTCTCAATTACCAGCCAAGTGCAAACCATTGGCACCACCCAGGGACCTTGTATTAAGGAATTAATGTCTATATAACACACATATTAAACATGAAGTGTGTGAGCTCACAACTATTGCAGCCAGGACTGAGAATCACTGGTCTAAGACATTGCTTTCTTAAGGGAATACTCAAGGCTTGTATAATTGGAGACACCTACTCCTGGTCTCCTGGCTTAGCACAGTCCAGGACTGCAAGTGTGCTTTCTCAAGGGAGCTGATTCACTTTGCTTGCAGTCTCTGAGGTCTTAAAGTGAGACCTCTCTGTCCACCTGCTCAGAAAGTAAAAGTAGAGCTTGTTCAAGCTTGTTCAACTCCAGTCTGTTCAGCAAACAATAATCAAACACCTGGTAACTGTGTGCGAGGTGCAGCCATAATTGCAGGGGAAGAGCATCTGCCTTATGGAGGTGCTCGTGATGGTGCTCTTGCTTTTCCAAGAGTGGGGTCCTCACCTCTCCCTTTATTAGTAGGTCCTTGATACTTAGGCTTCCTGCCTGTGTCTTGAGCTCCTTCATTCCTCCCTGGTATTGCTTTCTGCTCCTTGGCAGGAAGATGTTGCTTAGGAAGATTCAGAGGCTTTTTTCCATCTTCCTGGATGGATACCATGTCTCCCAGCTCTCTGGATTTATACTACTTCCAGTATCGGTGCAGACATTGACACCTACACATTTCCTCATTAATGAGGCCAGTTCTCTTCCCACAGGGGATGCTCTCATTAAAAGGAGCAGTTACTGTCCTACAGAACTGTGGCCTTTCTCAGGGCTGGAGCAGGTAGAGGTGTGGTGGGCTATGCCACTGAGGTTGGCTGGCAGCCCTCTTCTAGTAAATGAGAGCCTAGGCCTGGAGTTGGTCCTTTGAAGATGTGTCCCAAAGCTCTCCCCTGGAGATCAATAACAGGCACCCAGAGTCCTGCTTTTACCAAATGACAAGCTTGGCCACTTTTATGAGGAAAGGAACTCCTTATAGGATACCAAATTACAAATTAATTAGCAGCTTCCTCTGAGAAGCATAAAGTTTAAGTATAAACATCAACATAACCCAATTAGGACTTTCTAGCATGAGCCCCCTCACTGCAAGAATATAAAAAGGTCCTGGAAGGATGAGGTTTGCAGACAGTGGTGATCTAGATAGGCACAGCTAAGGAGAAGGGGCCTCCCAACATGATGTCCAACTGCTGTGTCACCAATAGCTCACCGGCCTCCATCAAGAGCTGTCCCCGGCCCTCTTCTGTCTGTTCCAGCATTATGAACTGCCGGCCTGAGCTGTGCCTGGGTTATGTCTACCAGCCCATGACATGTATGCCTTCTGTCTGTATGTCAACCACCTACCGGCCATCCAGCTGCCTCTCCAAGACCTACCTGCCCAGCTCCTGCCGGCCTAGCAGCTGCCGGGCACCCAGCAGCTTCTCCAACCCCATGGGTACCCTTGGCTTGTATTATGAAGGGACCTTCAATGGCAATGAGAAGGAGACCATGCAGTGGCTGAACGACCGCCTGGCCAAATACCTGGAGATGGTACGGCAGTTGGAGCGGGAAAATGCCAACCTGGAGAGCAAGATCCAAGAGGCCTACGAGTCTCAGGTGCCCACTTTGTGTCCAGACTACCAGTCTTATTTCCGCACCATTGAGGAGCTCCAGCAGAAGGTGAGGAAAAGTGGGTGAACACGCTCACTGGGAAGATAGCTGGAATAGCCAGTTTCCCAATTTTAACCTCATTAGTTTATTAAGCTATGTTCAGGAAAAAGGAACTTCCTGAGGCATAGGATTAATCTCATAATTTGAGTGCTCAGCCAGAGCCTTTGACAAGGAAAGAAGCCCAAGTTCTAGTCTCAGTTCCACCACTGATTCAGTGGGTGACTTTGGGAGGTCCCATCCCTTCCTAAGGTTTCAGTTTTTTTCAGGTGTAAAATAGGGATAATAATAGCCCTTACCCAATGGGCATATCAAAGGGATTGAATGAGAGGTGGCAAGTGAACAGCCCTGGTATGAGGTGAATTTTCAGTAAAAGTTAGTGCTTGTCAAGGATCCTTCTAATGGTCATGTGAATGACCTCAGACTTAACAAGATTCTTTGCATTCCGTATTGCTCACTGCATCCAAAATGGGGCACTGGATTCATGAAGACCCATGCACTTAAAAGAAATAAATCTGAAGTTCTCCCAGGCCTAGGAGTTCACTTAATATTCTCAAAGTTCCAGAAGAGGGGGCTTCTGCAGGATCCTGTCCTTACTACTGTCTTCTTTTTATTTATTTATTTTAAATTGTGCTTTAGGTGCAAATTTACAGAGCAGGATTTGTTTTACATTCAACATTTCGCATACATTTGGTTTCACTCCCCAGTTACTATCCCCGACCTTAACCCACTTTCTTCTCCCTTCCCAGTAACCCCCCCTTCTTAGTTATGCACCCCTGTCTGTCCTGCTTTCCCTCCATGTGAATGTTGCCCCTCTAGTGCCCCATGGCCAATTGCTCCAAGGGATGTATCATCATAGTGTGTGGGTACATCATCTTGAGTTGAGTGGCCTGCGTGTACATCTTATTTACTATTGGGCTGAGAGCCAGCCCTTGGGAGTGACTTTTACCCCAGGCCCAAAGTCCCACCAGACTCCATCTGACCAGTAATTCTGGTGATTATTGTGTTTTTGGACTTTGTTCGTTGTTTTTCCTCCCACTCTATCCAAGATCTCCAGTTTTGATCCTTTCCTCAGTGGTTGACATTGGTAGCTAGGCACCATCTAGTTTTTCTGGTCTTGAGGTCCATCATGTCCTAAACCAAGAAAATGCAACCATTGCCGTGGAGTCGGATCCGACTCATAGCAACACCTCCTTGGGTTTCCGAAGCAGTATCACTACGGAAGTAGATTGCCCAACCTTCCTTCTGGGGAGTGGTTGGTGGGTTTGAACCTCCAACCCTCTGGTAGCAGTCAAATGCCTTACGCACCACGGCACCAGAGCTCCCTATCATGTCCTAGGGCTGATTGTTTCTAAATGCCCTTGGTTTTTTTTTTTTTTTTTTCACTCTTCTTTGCTTCTGACAATAGGAGACCATTAGCTGCATCTTAGAAGGCCACTTGAAAGCTTTTAAGAACCCAGTCACTACTCACCAATGTAGGTTGTAGAACAAGATTTTTATGTATTTTGTTGTGCCAATTGAGTCTGCCAATACTATGGTCCTGAGTTGGCAGGTTCATTGGATTTCTCTTCCACAGTGTCTGATTGTCTATGAGGGATTGCTCTATGTCTGTCTTCTGTTGTTTCTGGGATGATTGCAGGTATTTTGTATCACTGGCATCTGTGTAAGATTAGGCTCAGCTGAATCTATCTTTGATCTAGAGTATAATCCTGTTCACTGACCCCCATCTGATATTCTCAGTTGTCTATACATTTATCTGTAGCCTGATATTTGGTGTTAATGGTAATGCAGTATTTTGGATATACTGGTATTAGCCTCTGTTTTCTATATCTTATGTGCACAATTTGGTGTCCTCCCTTTCCTCACTGTTATCATGCTGGTCACAGACTCTTTCCATACTATCCCTCCCCTTACCCAACTCAGTGTGTGGCCCCCTAGTAGCCCAAAATTATCCCCTCCCTTCCCTCCCCTCACCGGTAAGCTACAAAGTGAGTTCTCTTCCCTAACTAAACCCTTCTTTGTCTTTTTACATGTTAGTGTCTTCTTAGACATCCTTTTCTTTCATCTCATCCTGGACTAACCCCTCTATGTGCCTTGGCCCACAGGTGCTGTGTACCAAGGCAGAGAATGCCAGGATGATTGTACACATTGATAATGCCAAGCTTGCTGCAGATGATTTCAGGACCAAGTGAGTTTGGCCAGGGGATAGAGGGAATTCTCTCTCCCTGCACACACATGGGGCAAATTTCTGGTAGTTTCACAGGGTGTTAGACAAGTGCTGACAGTTCAAAGCCTTCCTTGAGATGCTGTGTTCAGTTCGACGACGCCAGTTCCTGATCCTGTCCTTATGCAGATATGAGACGGAGCTGTCCATGCGGCAGCTAGTGGAGGCTGACATCAACGGCCTACGCAGGATCCTGGATGAGCTGACCCTGTCTAAGGCTGATCTGGAGGCCCAGGTGGAGTCCATGAAGGAGGACATTATGTGTCTCAAGAAGAATCATGAAGAGGTGAGCTCTGAAGTAAAGGTGAAGGACTTGGAAAGCAGAGTGGAAAGAAAGTGGACGGTTTGGATTGGATAGACATAGGCTGAAATTCCCAAGCCTGACATGTATTGTTACTATGATTTTGCCCAATGTATTTAACTTTCTGAGGTTCATCTCCTCCTCTGTAAAACCTTAACACTATTGTATATGACTGTGGTGAGAATGAAATGAGATCATGGTTATGAAACACCTGTCCCTTGGTAGGGGCTCAGAAATGCCAGTTCCTTTCCCTTCTGCATTTCCTGGATGAACGTGATTGCCAAATGAATGGTCGGTACACTAGGGTCAGAGGTAGCTTGTGTTCTGTAACTCAAATGCAATGGCCTGTCCATCTCTGCCAGGCTAGGTCACTGGGGGGAACCCTCATCTTTTCTAAGGGAGACTTGAACTGCAGTTGTTTTCTTCTTTCTGTCCCTATCCTCCCCGCTCTTCTGTTTGTGTATTACACCCTTAAGCCAAAAGCCACAGGCTAACCATTTACCTCCTGATTCTTCTTTGGAGGGAAACTCTCTGCCCTGGACACCTGTGTGCTCCCAAGGCCACCCTGAACCGTGGTTGTTTTTTCTCCTTCTCTGAGTTGACTCTTAAACTCTGGACTTGGGATTTGAATGAACAAGTGCCTCTGGATCCTGGCTGAGTTTCCGTGAGCTTAAGTGTAGAGTAACAATCAGTCACCACATCCTCACTGAGCACCCTAAGGCACCCAGAAGAGTGACTCATCCCACTTAAGTCAGAGAACTGGGAACTGTACCAAGAAGGCACTAATGAGGCTTTATCACACACTCTGAAGCCTCAGTGACAACTTTCTCCCTTTGGCAGCCAAGCCTGGGGAGGTGCACACTCTGGCTTGGGCCTTAAACTAAGTGAAGTCAAGTTTCCACTGCTCTCATTCCAGATGGACACGGGTTGGAAGGGTGGGTTACGCATGCTAGGGTATTGCTTCCCATTTGAGCCCAAATGGGTCAAACAAACACTCTGATGTTGTTCTTGGTTTCTGCTAAAGCAACAGGAAGTGCTTCTGTTGGGAAATACCTTCTAAACTAGAAGACCATCAAGACACTGTAGAGATAGTGGTCTGGAGTCCTTGAAAGTCTCCTCTAATATTGAGATCCTTAGTCTTTCCTCTTCCATCTTTTTATGTTTTCCTGGGAGGTGAGCTGGGACTGTGCGACTTTCACACTTGACTGGGGCTCTTTTTATCTTTTCAGGAAGGCAGTGCCCTTCGAAGCCAGCTTGGGGACCGCCTTAATATCAAGGTGGATGCTGTGCCCCCAGTGGATCTGAACAGGATGCTGGAAGACATGCGATGTCAGTACGAGACTGTGGTGGAGACCAACCGCAGGGATGTGGAGGAATGGTTCAACATGCAGGTGGGCCCCTTGCAGGTGGACTGGCTTCCCAGTGTCCCTGAAAAGGCACTCCCAACTTCTCCTGTCCACTCTCCCATTGCAGATGGAGGAGCTTAACCAGCAGGTGGCCACGAGCTCGGAGCAGCTTCAGAGCTACCAGTCAGACATCATTGATCTGAAGCGGACAGTTAACACTCTGGAGATTGAGCTGCAGGCCCAGCACAGCCTGGTGAGTGCTGCTGGGTAAGACCCTCTCCCAAGCTCTGGATCCAGGGTGGCACTGAGTGTAGGTGCAGGCGCCTGTGAAGGAGGAAGAGGAAGGCAGATTTCAGCTACCATAAATGCTCACCCAGATGCCTTTTCCTGAAGGGCACTTTCTCCCAAGATCCAGCCTAGAGTTAAAATGGGCATATTTCAAATCTCACCTGGGGACACTACCAGTACTGACAAACACAACTCCCCAAGAAGGTTTGATCTTTGCTTAGCCTGGCCTTCTAAACCTGTGGTTCTCAATTTCACCTGTGAGCTTTTAAAACTCCCAACTCCCAGTTCCTTTCCGGACCAACTGAATTTCTGGAGGTGGGCTTGGGTGTGGGTATTTTTAAAGAAGCTCCTAATGTGCGGCCAGGTTTAAGAATCCTGTTCTAAAAGATTCTATGGGGCAGGCATATTTGGTGAACTTCAGATCCAAAGCCTGAGCCAGTCTAAGGCTGCAGAAGGAATAAGGGATGTAGTATTTGATTTGGGGTCAAACCCTGTGAGTTATCAGCTGTTTAACCTTGAATAAGTCACTTGTGTTTTCTGGGCTTCAGTTTCTATAGTGATATAGGTAGGGAGGGGTCATTCCCAACTATAAAGAAAAATTTGGCTGTTCTAGGCCCTTTCAGAATCAGGCCATGGAAAACAGCTCTGATCCTCAGGGTTATGTATTTCCTTTGCCATAGAGGGATTCTCTGGAAAACACACTGACTGAGACAGAGACCCGCTATAGCTCCCAACTGACCCAGCTGCAGTGCCTGATCACCAATGTGGAGGCTCAGCTGGCTGACATCCGTGCTGATCTGGAGCGTCAGAATCAGGAGTACAAGGTGCTGCTGGATGTTAAGGCTCGACTGGAGAGCGAGATCAATACCTACCGGGGTCTGCTGGAGAGCGAGGACTGCAAGTATGTGGGGCCAGCTGAGGCTGTCCAGAGAGATGAGCATGAGGGTGGGCACATTCTTATTAAGTGCCTACAGTATGCCTAACACAGTGTCAGGGCACAGGGTGGGCCCACAGATGTGGCTGCTGCTCTCTTGAACCTCCCTGCTTAGTAGTGGAGATAGAGCACAAGAGAATAATCAGAAATAGTTACTGTGGAAGGTGGTACATGGTACCACGAGTGCTACCCTAGGGATCTGACACAGAGAAATCAGGGTAGGTGTCTTGGACGATGAGATGTTGTGTGATGTTGTTGTTGTTGTTATGTGCTGTTGAGTCGGACCCGACTCATAGCAACCCCTCCTTGGGTTTCTGAGGCAGTATCACTACGGAAGTAGATTGCCCCATCTTCCTTCCGAGGAGTGGCTGGTGGGTTTGAACTGCCAGCCTTCTGGTTAGCAGTCAAGTGCCTTAGGCACTATGCTACCAGAGCTCCTGACAATGTGATAGTTGAGTTCTAAAAGAAGAGAATAAATTGATTAGGTGAGTAGGGAGGGAGGAGTGTTCTAGAAATAGGAAACAGGGCACAAGCCCTGTGACTTGAGCAATGTGGTCTATGGAGGAACTGGAAGAAGGTAAGACTGGAAGAAACGTACAGAGCAACAGAGCTATGAGGTGAGAACTATGCAAATTGTATTAGAAAGCTGTTCTTTATCCCAAGTGTAAATGGGAACCATGGAAGATTTTAGGCAGGGGAGGGAAACAATTAGATTTGTTTGTGAAGATAATCACTCTGGCCATTAAGTTGGCAATGGTTATGACAGGCAAGAGTGGGGTTGGAGAGACCAGTTAGGAGGCTGTTGAGGTAAAAGAAACAAAGATGATGGAAGCTAGGACTAGGGAAGCTTGGTGGAGAAAGTGTGCAGGGGATGGATTTGAGAGGCATCCAGGGGATGGATTGGTAGGACCTACTGCAGAGCTGGATTCTCTACTAATCCTGTCCCAATCGTGGCTTTCTTCCATAGGTTGCCCTGTAACCCATGTTCCACTCCTTCCTGTCCTCCTTGTGTGCCCTGTCCACCCAGTGTGCCCCGCACGGTTTGTGTGCCCCGCACTGTCTGTGTGCCTTGCACACCCGGTCTCCAAGGCCGCTACTAAAGTCCCTTAGCACTGGTGGGTTTTGGAGGGACTGGAGCTGAGCAGCCTGGTGTCTCCTCAGGCTGGGCCTGACCACAATTCTGTGGTCACCCACATAGCAAGGCTATTCCCCAACAGCAAGGAAGACCACAAGCAAGAACCAGGAAATGGACATCTGCAAGGTGCTCTGCTACTTACTGCTGAGGGTGTGCTAGCTCTCATTGCTTAGAAACTGCCTGTCTTCTATTTCCATGGGTGAATTGTTCCCTCTGGTGAGAGTATGTGGTTATCCATGCCATCTCAAAGAGCATGTGTTCTAAGTTAATTGGCAAATAAAGCCTATTCAGTGGCCCTGGAAACATAGCTTTCTTTATTTTGTCACTTATTCTGCTGCATTCACAAGCTCGTTCTACTGAAGTGGGTTCAAGACGAATGTGACCAAATTCTGTAATTATTTTTATGTCCCTTCTGCGTCCATAGGCTCAAGAAGCTTTCACTGAAAAGGCTCACATGCCATAAACCAGTTGAAAACAGGTAATAGGTCCACAGCCAAGCAATAAAAGAATAAAGGGAAGAGGGAGATAATTATGCCAGAAACCTAGGCCTAACTACTATAATTGAATATAAAAACCTATTGTTAAACCTCATTACAGCTGGTACAATGGGATCATTCATTCATTCAAGATCTTCACCTCCTAGGTGCCAAGTGGTGCACTTGTTGTTAGTTGCCATGGAGTTGACTCCGATTCATGGCAACATTATGTATAACAGAGCAAAGTGTTGCCTGATCCTGTGGCATCTTCATGATTCTTGGTAGATTTGAGCTCATTGTTGTCAGTCAATCTCATTGAAGGTTTCCTTCGTTTTCCTCACCCTCTACTAACATAATGTTCTTTTCTAGTGATTAGTCTTTCCTAACGATGTGTCCAAAGTAAGTTGAAATTTTTTCCATTCTCACTTCTAAGGAGTATTCTGGTTATATTTCTTCTAAGATTGATTTGCTCACTCTGGCAGTCCATAGTCCATTCAATATTCTTTGCCAATATCACAATTCATATGCATCAATTTTTCTTCTGTCTTCCTTTCTTAATGTTCAGGTTTCACATGTACACAAGAGATTATTGAGAAGACCATGGCTTGGGTAAGGCACTCTTTAGTCATCAAAGTGATATCTTTGCTTTTTAAAACTTTGTTGTTGTTGTTGTTCTGTGCTGTAGAGTCAGACCTGACTCATAGCGACCCCTCCTTGGGTTTCCGAGGCAGTATCACTACGGAAGTAGATTGTCCAACCTTCCTTCCGAGGAGTGGCTGGTGGGTTTGAACCACCAGCCTTCTGGTTAGCATTCAAATGCCTTAGGCACTATGCTACCAGAGCTCCCTTTTAAGGAGGTCTTTTGCAGATTTGCCCAATGTAGATATCCTGTTAATAATACCCCATTTAATCCTGCAACAATCTACGTCAAAGTACCATTATTTTCTCTACTTTACAAATGAAGAAACTGAGGTCCAGAGAGTTTAAGAAACTTGCCAAGGCCTCAAGGGTGGAGTCAGGCTCCAGAGGTATTTAATTAATTCATATTCAGAGTCCCTAACATTTGCAAACTACAGCTGGGTACACAGGATACCAAAAAATGCAAGCAGTCCCTATGCTTCTCAGGTACTTATAATCAGAGAGGAAGCTAAGACCAGTTCCTTCCTCAAGAAGGGGCATGTAACTATATGAGGACTTGAAGTACTTACTGATGAAAATCAAACACTACAGCTTCAGTATAGATTACACCTCGGTGTAAAGAAAACAAAAATCCTCACAACTGGACCAATAAGCAATATCATGATAAACAGAGAAAGTATTGAAGTTGTCAAGGATTTCATTTTACTTGGATCCACAATCACCATTCATGAAAGCAGCAGTCAAGAAATGAAATTAGGTATTTCAATGGGCAAATTTGCTGCAAAAGACCTCTTTAAAGTGTGAAAAACCAAAGATGTCACTTTGAGGAGTAAGGTGTGCCTGATGCAAGCCATAGTATTTTTAATTGTCTCATATGCATGTGAAGCAGGACAATGAATAAGAAGAATTGATGTCTTTGAATTATGGTGTTGGTGAAGAATATCTAATATACCATAGATTGTCAGAAGAATGAGCAAATCTATCTTGGAAGAAATACAGCAAGAATGCTCCTCAGAAGCAAGGATGGTGAGACTTCATCTCATATATGTTGGACATGTTATCAGGAGGGACCAGTATCTGGAGAAGGACATCATGCTTGGTAAAGTAGAGGGTCAGTGAAAAAGAGAAAGACCCTTCAAAGAAATGTATTGACAAGTGGCTGCAACAATGGGCTCAAACATGGCAATGATTGTGAGGGTGGTGCAGGACCAGGCAGTGTTTCACTCTGTTGTATAAAGGGTCACTATGAGTCAGAACCTACTTGATGGCATCTAACAACTAACAACAATAATAATAATTATGACAGTTCCTACCATGTTTGAGTGCTTATGATGCACAAGTACTGTGTTGAGCACGTATACAAATTAACACATTGAATTCTCATCTTATGTGATAGGCATCGTGTCCATATAGAGATGTGGCAACTGAGATGCAGAGAGTAATTAAGGCAGTTGTCCAAGGTTATATACAATGACACAGATTTGAACCCAGGTCTAGCTGGGTCTACCATTATTTTAATTACTCCATTATCCTGCCAAATTCCTACCTAGCACACATTAACAAAGATTGGGAGAAAGTATTAGCTTGGGGGAAGGGAGATCAGAAAAGGCTACATCTAGATGGTAGCATTTGACATGGGCCTTGAAAGTTGAATAAGATGTCAACAGAGAAAAAGACAAACTGTGTGGGAAGAGAGAAATCTGTAGGGGAAAGCAGAGTTTACAAGTAGGTGGTCTTGAGTTGTCCTGCTGGCTCCTGTGAGAGACTAGTGGGAAATAAATCTCAAATGGTAGGAAATATCAGACTGTGGGGGGCTCAGCTACCACACTGAAGAGCCTGACTCCATCCTGAAGATGATGGGAGGTTGCCAGAGGATTTGAGCCCAAGAATGACATGGCCAGAGTGGTATTTTAGGAAGTTTAACTGAAGAATGTAAACAGGATGGCTGAGAGCCAGAGAGAAAGCTGTTGAATAGTGTGTGGAAGAAGGTAATAGGAGTTTGAACTAAAGCAATGACAATGAGAATGGAAAAATAAATTTGAGAGACACAGTGAAGGATCTGACCTGACTTGGCAACAGATAGGACATGGTGGAAAAGAAACAAGAGACAAGAACAGGGACTTGAACACCTTTTTGAACCTCACCTTCAAAATACATAGTTCTTCCTTAATGAGGTGAAGTGATGTTTCTATTAAGTATCTGCCCTCTGGCTTTGCCAAGGAATGATGAAAAATGGATCAGATCCTGAAGCTACCTGGGGGGCTCTCCGCACACGATCCCACATGCCTGCCTGGCAGACAAGGTCATTAATCTGTCAGAAGAGACACAAATACTTGCTGCTCAGCAAAGTGTAGTTCCGGGGTGGTAAGATGTGTGTATGTTAAAATTTCAATGAGCTGGAATGGCAAGGGAGAGGGGCTTTTGGCTAACTGGATTTGCTGCTAACTGAGTGTCAACGACCACTTCTTTTCTAGAATGTGGTTAGCCTGATAAACATGGCAGACTGAAGAGAACTGAATCTTTGGTTCTAGCATCATAGATCTGTTCTATCCAATATGGTAGCCACCAACTACATGTGGTTATTTACTTTTTAATTAAATAAAATGAAATGAAATTGAAAAATTAAGTTTCTCAGTTGTACTAGCCACATTTCAAGTGCTCAGTGGCTATATGTGGCTGGTGGTATTGTACAATATTTCCATCATCGCATAAAAGTTTCTTGGCCAGTGCTGTCTGAGACTGTCAGAACCAGAAGGAGCCTTACAGATGAGCTGTTCTACGCCCTTCTCTTTCCCCATTCTACAAACTAGGAGTCTAAGGCCCAAGAAGACAGAAAGAGTTGCTCACCAACACAATCAACAGATGCAAGTTGAAGCCAAGTGTTCTGACTCCAAGCCCAGTGGAGCTCTCCGAGCTCTTTATGCTTTCTCCAAGTACTTGAGGTTTATTATTATTTCAGGCTAATAAATATTCTTCCCTCTCTCCCTCTTCCATTTCTCTTAGAGATATTTTCTCTGAGAGGCTGAGACTCTTTCCTGGGGTTACAGTTCCCCTTAAAAAAAAATGACCAGCAATGACCAAATTTAGACTCTCCTCATTCTTCACACAGTTGGCTTACTTAAGATCCCAGACCCTGAGAGATGACACTGGAGCAATTACGTAGGAGGGGCAGGCCAGGAGCCCAGGTCACTTTGGGGTCTTCCTCTGGCTCCTCTTTATCCAGCAACCCAACTTCGTCCCTGTTTCCACGCCTGCATATCACTTTGACTTGCCTACACCTGTCTGACCACCCAAATGCTTGTTAAGGCATTTTATATGAAACCAAGCCCCACCATGCCAGGTCAGGAGTGCCGCCCCCTTCTGGAAACAGATGGCCACCACCCTTCGAATCTAGATGGCACAGCTGAGCTAGAGGCATCTCGAGCTATTGTCCTGCTTAGCTTGTCTCTCTTGTCTGATGGACAAAGAAGTCACGGGAGTAGAGATTATAAGATATTTATGGCCCACCAGCATCAGGACCTGCTGGGAACTGGACCCAGTCAGTGCTCCACACATGGAGATTCTCAGAGGAGCCCTGTCCTCTATCAAAGCATTTGGATTTAATTAACTCTTGTTAATAGAGACACATGGGCAGAGTCATGGTGATGTAATAAAATTTCTGGCATGTTTGATGTTTGGGAGAAACTCCCACAGGTAGCAGGGATCCTCCCCGCATGGGGACTGGGAAAGAAAGGACCAGTGTTTCAAAGATACCACTTTCCTCAAGACCATTAAAGAGGCTGGGCCTCTGCCTGCCATTCACAGCCCTAGAGCAAGGCCTACTTTTCTAGGGGTGGAAATGAGGGCCCAC